TAATCGTTGATACTAGGTGACACAGTATGCGGAACAGTTTGAATATCATGCTTTTCAGACTTCTTTTGATGTGAAAGTTCGCTCACCTGACATTAATTTAAATGAGCAAGTAAAAAAAGTTGTAGGCTCAAACTTCAATTTAATGAATAGATAGATTAAAACATTCACAAACCTTAATTTCAAGTCTTTCATTCCGTTCCCTCCCCTTGCAAAAAAAAACTTTTTCTCGTTTTTTTTCTTAGTTTTTTTTAGCAAACAATTATAGTAGGAAATTTCTGAGCTGATTGATCAACGACCCGCTGCTCTAGTTGCATTATTTTTTTTGAACTTTTAATAGATATGAAGAAAATTCAACAAAGCAAAAATTAAAGTTAAGCCAATGCCCAAAATTTCCCAAAGTAAAAGTTATGCACCTGTTGATAGCTATGGCCATTATAGTCCACAGACTGGCATAGCAGCTGAGGTTGCACAACACCCCCGACACCTCACAGAACATAGGGTGGTCTTCGAAGAACTGCTGACCCCTCCAAATCCCAATCTGGACCACGAACGATAGTACCATCACCCCCAAATCCGTTATAGCCAAGTTGACGGCAAATATATTGGCCAGTTGTCGCAACTTCTCGGTCGTCAAGACACTCACGATCACTAAACACACAGGGTCCGATTTCAATCTCATAAAATTGACACCTAAACAGAATAAGCGAATAAAAAGAAGTGCTTAAAACAATCAAAGTATTCGCGATTATAGAAGTCGCAATTTAAAAATCTAAATCCTCATTGATTTAATAGTTTTCAAAAAAAATTCAAAAGTTTTGTCGACTTTTTTTTCTTGGTCGACCAAATTGATTTTTCGAGCTCCCCCAAAGCACTAAAAGACCCCTTGTTTTGGCCAAACTTTCTACGCCGCAGCCAAAATTTCGAAAAAAAATAGGTCAAAATAACGTTTTTAGGCGCTTTTTGGAAAATTTTGACCAAAAAATTGCTTGTTTCGACGCGCGCTCCTCTCCCATCAAAAATAATATAAATTAGCGCCAAAAATGGATCTCGAAATAGTACAAAGGGAGGAAATTTTGGGTCGTCAGGCGGTCGAATCCTGAGGGGGGGGGGTCCTTTCCTAAATCCGCACCTGATCAAAATAACAGGTTACCGAAACTTTGGAGGATTTTTGGATTACATCCAGCATGTTTTTACCCGGAACAGTGAGAAAACAGCTGTTGTAAGTTAACAGCTTAGATTGCAGCGAAGAGGCAGACTAACTTTTTTTTATTCAAAAAAAAATCCGAGACGATTTCTCAATTGCTGGCCCAAGGTGACTGTTCAACTTGCAATTATTTTGTCCTAAGCCTGTGACTTTACTATTTTTTGGACATTATATTTTGCTCAGGGTTAAAATGGAAAAAAGCCAACAAAAATGTTTTCTTGCCAACTTAACCTTAGACGGGTGAAATGATAAAATTTAGATCAAGTGTCTAGTTTGAGGAGGTTGTTACCGAGTATGTTTCCAGGTATGCCGAGGATGGCGTTTAGAGTGACCCAGAGGAAGAAAACGAGCCGAAGGGCGAAGATGTCGGGGGATTCTATCTCCAGGAAAGGACGAGCCCATTGCGCCTAAACACAACAGCAACGTACAAGTTTATAAGCAATAGAAGAACGCCAATTTTTAATTTTATTCAATTTAACGACGCGATTTATCTATAGCCTAGTTGCGAAAAGAAAAAAGACTATAGGAAGAGTTGTTCAAACCTTCCCAGATAACCGTTGTGGTTTCCCTATTAAGATCTTCAAGTTTTTTTAAATGAATTTTTTCGCCGCTCTCCCCTGGTAAATGGCATGGATTATGATAGGCTTCAAAATAATTATCTTTTAGTTGAGAGGCAAATGCAAAGACCTTGGCGACTCAACATAACTCCTAATTGGGTTCTTAAAAAATCAAACCAGCCAAAACGAACTTTTCATTATTTGGGGAGATAACTTTAACCTAATTTGGGGCGAGGGTTGAGAGCATAGGTCAGGTGTTCAATTTACGGATCGAGTGAATTTTATAAATAAGTTCACGTTTCGATCGAATTGGCTGAAAAGACTTTGGATGACTGTGTTTGAGTGAAGGAGTAGAGTGCAATCGAGTAATGTTCGTTACATGAAAATTGCACTACGAGGCCCAACTGTTGTGTATTCTGTAAAGTTTAGGCGGATTCCACAAAAAAGGACCTTTTTGTGGAATCGGCCTTTGTTTTTTCCTTTTCTTTGAAGGTTCCGACAAAATTTTAACATGTTTAAAGACTTGTCTCTGGATTCCAGAGACCTATACACACTAAATTGTGCGCCTATCCAGTGAACAGTTTGGCCTCGTAATGTGGTCATTTAGATTTAGAAAACTGATATTACTAAATGCAAAACAATTAGAATAAATTTGATCAGATTTTTTTTTGGAAGACAGCTTTTGTCGATTATGCCTAAACTGCTAGCTCTGTCCGTTTGTACAGTTCTCTCATCATACCACGCACAAATAACGACCCTGATTAGAAGACAAAAAAGGAAAACGTTTTTTGTAGTGTTCAATGAGTATGGTCGGAACATAATTTGCTACTTGCACAACCACTTGTTGCTTGCTTTTGTTATGAGTTGTCGAATATCGACTCAAAATGGCAATTTTTCCATCAATTTGACCAAACAAAGACGCAATCGACTTTTTTTTAGCTAAAACAAACTTTTTTGGCCGTTTCCTTTTGAATGACAACTTATTCGACTAGGCTTAATTCAAGCCAACACGGTTTTGACCATCAAAAATGTGCCCAATTGAATTACTTTTGACCGACTCAACCGAATAAAATGTATCCGATTGTGTTTTGTTTATATAAGGTATCTTTCGACTAAATTGACCCAGAATGGCTATGTTTCGAACAAAAAAATCAAAGTCTAAAAAATAGGTGCAGAGGTTCTAGGAAAGGCTATCCAGCCTGTCTAAGCATAGTCAATTTCTCTTGATTCTCCACTTTCTAAATTGGGTTATTTTGGTTAATAAGCCCTTTTTGCGACTCAAGGCCATTGAGTTAGTCTAAAACTTTCTTTTGGTATAGTTTTTAACTTTTAACAAATTCATCGCGCAATGTCTAAAATGTCTATCTGAAATATATAGTTAATGCTGAATTGTTGGCAATATCGGTGACCGTGAACCATTTAATCGGTCAAAATCTAGAGCTTTTTTCACATGTAGAAAAATTTTGAGAAACAAATCTGACGTCAAAATTAGCAGTTTTATGTTAACTAACTTCGTTTAGATTCGTTGACCGAAAACAATAGTGCTAAGAATTTGGAATTAGCATTAATTCTGACCTTGAGACAGTGACATAGACTTGAAAATACAACCGAAATAATTGCGCTTTTCCAGAGGTCAGATTTTTAAAAATATTTTCAAGTTCTTAACTCAAAACAATTTTCATTCAGCAACAATCCGACATGCAATTTTTCAATGGAAACGAAATAAGAAGCGAACCTAAAATTGAACGCGAAACGAATTTCAAAAAACTGTTTCTGATGAGTCGCAGCTTGAAGGTCAGAATTATTTCATAAGTTCTGGTCCGATAAAGTTCTGGTCCGTTAAGTGCTATACAAATACTGCAGCCGAAATCAACGTGAAGGACGGAATTTGTTTTATTCCTGAGAGGGAAGGTCTGTTTTTGGCCACGAACATAGAATCGAACAGCATGCGCGAGTTCGATTGATTCGGTCGAAATTTAAATCAACAACTGAACCCCGTAAATACAATCAACGCTACCAGTCAATAAAATTTTTTCAAATGTTTCAAAACTCGAAAGGTAAATAAATTGCAAACGGCGTTGAAGTTGTCATACGAATGGGAACTGATTAGCTCTATCTCAGATGACAAAAGTACGAGCGAAGAAATCTGGTATGAGCAGTTCTCTAATGGCTCTTGCCGTTTCTCGTGGAAACCACCACAACCAATACCAATTTTGTCTGTTTTTAAAATACAATTAGACCTAATGGGAATCGACTAGAGATGATGCTATGAATACAAATTGCGTAGTGGCGTTCGATAAATAAACAAAATTTTTGGTTCGCTGCCCAGAATGTTCCGATCATGTTTATTTATATATAACCCTAATTTCTTTTCAAATCGGTATGCGACAGTCAAAGATCGATTTTTGTATTATTTGATGAAGCATCACTTTGGAATATCATCTTTTGATCTCTCGAGTGACGTCTCCTCGTTAAACGAAAAAAGTTTCTGACATTTTGCGGATGTGTGTGTGTGTGTGTGGGGGGGGGGGGGGTGGTTGTGGGGGAGACTTTCGAGAGTCAGTTGAGAAAAACAGTTAAAAGGACAATATTATTAAGGACAAGGGATCAGAAAAAAAACGAAAACTGAAGTTTTAAGCTCTAATTCCAAGGGCTAGCCTATTTAACAGTTTTTGATTCTACTCGCTGGCTTGACTAGCTTCAAAAGTACTATTAAAAAACTTTTCTGGAGAAAATCAAAATCAAGCCTTGAAGAAAACGAATACTTCGTATTTTTATGGTGGTTAACTTGAAGAGCGTCACGTGCTAATGAGGGCTCAAAATTTTTGCATAGTTTTCAAGACTTTTGACTCACCCAATCATCGTCTTCAACTTCGGTAGTTGAAATATTCATTTTCAAGAAAAATTACTCCCAAAATTTGCTGCTAGATTCTGGGCGAAACTGGAAATTGAATACAGTAAAATGACTGCTGAGAAAATTGGCAAAAATTGAAAAAGAGAACGAAAATGGTCCTTAAGGCTCAATCGCCCCAATTCATACATTTTATTTTAATTATTGTAATTTTCTATTAATTAGGACGCCTGGGATATGCTCTGATTACTTTTCCGTCTTTTCTTTTCAGAAATGAAACTGGAATAGTCAAATTAGCAAAAGCGTGGGTGTTCGTTTTTTTGTATATGAAATTAAAAATAAAGGCAAAAAGGGAGAAAAAATTAAGGTTTTCAATGTTTCTTTGTTGTACAGCTTCTCCAGTTCGCTTTTGATTTTGCCATTTGATATTGCCTTTCAAATTGAAAAAAAAGAGGCAAAGATTCCACTGAAATAATAATTCATTAATCCCATGATCTTGGGGTACGAAATCCGAAAACTCAGCGAAGTGCAACTCTTTTGAATCAAACTCACATATGATTTTCTATCTTGATCAACTCCTAATGTCCGAAAAATTTTCTCTTGGAGAGCAAATGGATTCTCCTGAAATCATTTGTCATTCATACTACACATCAAAAAATGCAGGCAACGCAACTAAACGTAAAACAATCATGATGATGAAATTGTTCTAATGGGGTACAAAAAAGCGATTATCAGTCCCTGTCCCATTAGTTTTTTTTTTAATTTAATTGAGTTCCAACTTGGGATCTCACTGACACTGTGCCTTTATCAAATAATCCACAAAGTATTTGGTCAATTTTAGATTTGATTTTATTTCTGAGCCAAAAACAAACAAAACTGCGCGTATTAGGAATAAGCCCCGAATGTTCTGACTGCCGTTTAAGTCAATAGCGCAGTCTTATTTATTCCTCCGTTCTGAAAAACGAAAACGTTCACAACACTTTTTCTCCACACCGAGTTAACTGTTCAATTTTGAATCAAAGACATCAGGGTTTTAATATGATACCACAAATGACCGCCTACGAACTTTTTTTAGGTATTCAAAGTTGGCAAAAACAAACATAAGTCAAAAATTGAAAAAGAGAGCAAAAATGCTATTTAAGGCTCAAACGCCCAAATTAAAATATTTTGCATCCCAATCCAACCTAAATGAGAAATCGAGACTGAGGAGCGTGTATAATAGTTTCGTCGATTTAAACTTAGAAATTGCGTGCGTGTCTGAGCGAGAAATCACCCTTCAAAGATCAACAACTTTCTTTAAGCTTTTTCATGCTGGTATCATCTTGATATCCTGTCGTCTTATTTAGGAAGCACCGGCAACTTGAAAAAGTATGCACTTTATATATAGGAATATTGGAAAAAGATCACTACGAAGCCAAACTGTGCACTGGATAGGCGCACATTTTTCTGTCTGTATGTTCCTGGATTCTAGAGACAAGTATTTAAATATGTTTCAAAATGTAAGTGGATTCCACTTACAAGATTTAAGTGGTTTCCGCATACATATACTTGTAACATAAATTTTTGTCGGCACATTTAATTTATTGCGGATTCCGCAACAAGCAAATATAGCTAGTTGTTCTGGATTCCGCAACTGTAAGTGGAATCTGCAAAATGTAAGTGAAATCCGCAATGTAAGTGGAATCCGCAAAATTTTTAAGCGGAATCCGCAAACTGTAAAGGAATTCAGAAATTTGTTTATTACTGAACTCGCATATTCACATGCGGAATTTAAAAGCAAGGACTTCACCATTGTCAGCAAAATCCACAAAAAAATCTTAAAACATTGGTTAACTAAATCAATGGATGTCACACTTTAGTATTTGTAAGCAACTTTTGGGTCATAGTTTTAGAAACACAGCAACGAATAAATTCATTGGGTTAATTCGGTAAATGGGTTAATTCATTATTGGGTTGACATATCGCCGTTTTAGTTCAGTATTTGTGATTCAGTAATTGAGATTCAGTATTTGAGAACTTTGTATTTGAGATTCAGTATTCGGGATCGTGAACTCAAAGCATGTTGTTCACAGGGAGTAAACGATCTATTTAACTAATTTGAGCAAATTCGTGTTAATTGAAAATTTCAGCAAATTCGTATTAGGTTCACTATTTAGGAACTTTGTATTTGAGATTCAGTATTTGGGATCGTGAATTAGAAGCATGTTGTTCACAGGGAGTAAACGATCTAATTAACTAATTTGAGCAAATTTTTATTAGATAAAATTTAGCAAAATTAAATTACAGCAGAATTAAATTTAAAGTTAAAAAAAACAAGAACATATCGTCCTGAAAATGTTGCCTATCAAACTATGTTCTGGTTTCGCATTTTCAAAATACTTCCAAAGTGCCAAATTAAAACTTTTTTATTTTAATTGAATGGCTTGAAATGAACTGATGGAGAAATTTACAGAAATTGAGATTGATGACAGGAATTGAGATCGAAGTTAACCTTTGCAGGAAGTGAGATTGAAGCTGGGCTGGGTATATTTGACAAGAATTGAGTAAAGATCGAAGTTGCGTATGTTTGTCAGGAATTGAGATCGAAATTGGGTATGTTCGACGGGATTTGAGATCGAAAATGGGTGTTTGACAGAAATTGAGTTTGAATGTTTTGCATTCCAACTGGTAGCTGATCAAAGTAGTAATTAAAAAATATAGTTTTAAACGCTACTACACATACTTATATGTAAACGGAATCCGCAAACAAAAAGCGAATTTCACTTACAGTTTCGTATTCCGCAACAGCTCAATTCAGCTTTACCCATATCTCTTTATTTGTTTGTTCATTCCAAAAACTGTTTTGGATTCCGCAAATACGGTTGCAGATTCTGCAAAATTGCCTAATTTTGGAGCATTTTTGAACGGTACATTGTTTTAGGTATTTGTTTGTGGAATCCGAAACAGCAAAGAAGATCAAAGATTTGTAGCAAGGTTGCGGATTCCACAACAAATCTGATCTGGGCCTGTTGCGGAATCCACTTTCAATGCACAGAATGCACAGTTTGGCCTCGTAATGATTCTTTTAAAGGGCATTGATGTGGTTATCTTTTTTAAAATACAAAAGTTTAAAAAATAAATTTAAACTTCTTCCCACACGTTATGCAAAAAACCAGGGTCGGATTTAAGGGAGACTGGGGTGGACGCCCTCCCCCTCAGAGGTTCGACCCCCTGCCGACCCTAAGGCTCCCCCTTTGCACTACTTTGAAACATCCGTAATTGGTGACGCACCCTAAAAACTTTTAAATGCGCCTTTGCCATCAATACATAATATTTTTGAGAGGGGGCGCTCGCTGAAATAAAAAACGCTGTTTTTTGGTCAAAATTTCCGACAAATGCCTAAAAACGCGTTTTTTGGTCTGCTTTTCAAAATTTTGCTTTCGGCGCAGAAAATTTGACAAAAACAGGGTCTCAAAAATTTGTTGAACATCCGCCCCTCGAGAAATTACTAGATTCACCCCTACAAAAAAACAAAGTGTTATATTTTGCATGCAGCGAATTAATACATTGCCCAAATTTGTTTTGGAACAATCTGCAAGACGGATTAATTCTCCGCTTACGCTTTAGTAGCAGGTAGTAATTTGCGCATGAACTACCCGAATTGGCATATAAGTCAATTTTTAAAGCTACGTAACCTAATGAAAAACAATCCAAGTGAAAAATTGATTTTAAGCTTGAGCCCAGAGCAACATAAGTTTTTAAAGGGAATGAAAATAATTCCTTCGAAAATTGATTGAAAAATCGAAATAGCCTGAATAAAAAAACACCCCTCGAGCAGAAATGTTCCATCACTTCTTTCAAAAGTCGAACAAAAAGTATACTGCCAATTTTGTATCATATGGTGCATCAATACACACTAGGTCAAATGATCGAGAATTTTGCTAAAATAAGTTAAAAAAATTTAGTTTCTTTTTTTTTGTTTTTAAAGTTTAAGATCTATCCATAGTGTACATTAGGTGGATTATTTCTCTGAGTTCTTTCTCGCTATCTCACTCTCTTTCCCTTGGGTATTGAATTCAACAAGGCGACCGAATTTACTCCTATTCACATTCCCGAAAGGGTTGAGTTGTTGGCATATATTCTGTACGTTTTTATGTTACTTGCATCTTTGTGTACTGCTCTTAAGGCTGTTTTGTCCACTCAAAACGATAGCAAACATTTTCAAGAGTATTTGAATTCAGATAAAATCAGTCCAAATACAGAAGGCTCTAGGTGGCAAGAGTATAATCTTACAATCTAATCGAAGGAACGAGTTTGCGATTTATCAGCACAATTTACCTAATTGCGTGTCAAACTAACTTAACCATATGATTCTATTTCTCTAGAGAACCCCAGTTGAAACAATTACACAGTAGTTCGATGCAAACATTTAATTTCACCTGCTAAAACTAATAGTGTCTCTAGGAGTCTTTTTTCCTTTGAGGTACTTAAACTGATCTCTAACTATACCCTTTCTCCTTCTCTAACTCGACACTCCAACTACTCGACACAAAATTATTTATCGTCCTCCAAATAACTGAGAACCGACTATTCTATTCCATTGATAATTCGTTCTGCATGAGGTTAGGTGGTTTATCAGTCTCTCTTTATTTTTCTATTTCGGGGCTATTTAAAGTTCCAGTTATGATCAACCCTGCAACTCATGACATTTACTTTGGCAACCCATTAAGTCTTAACTGAATCCTTACTCTGAAAATACTAGTCCTGAATTCTAATTTATAGGTATCTTTGATTTAGTTTTGCAAATATCAAGTCCAATTTCACCTCCAAACCAAGCGATGTTTTGTTAAACAATCTCCCAAAGTTTTTATTTAAATATCCCATTAACATTCCGACCTCCCGGGGTTAGAGGGGGACCTTTTTTGTAGGTATCTTTCCAATCATCCAAAGTTCCAGTCTATACTCTAATTTAATCCCGACATTCTATATATCAGGGAAGCGTAATTTGCTTATTAGGGGTCAAATTGCACCAAAAAGCCATCTACGAGGAGCTAAGGATATATCCGGCACATTCATGTTATTTAAGACTTCTATTATCCATGCCAGGCTCCCTTTAGTGTCAATTTCTTCTATGACTACTTTCCTTTTGTCTGACTGATATTCTATAATTAGCGCATTCGTCAAGCTTAGTTG